TGTCCTTATCAATAAAAGCTACTGAGGGAGTAAATGAAAAAATTTGAATATTATGGAGAAGGCACTCTTGAGAATAGGATTTTTAGGTTAAGCAATTAAGACAAAATACAATTATGGAAATTTGACCTTGATGAGAAATGGAGGTGAGGTGAGATTGAATGGTATTGTGGTGCATAAGTGTTAGCTATGTCAAATATCTAGGGTCTGTAATTTTAAGGCATAATCAAATGACGTATGTATCTCATAGAATTAAATAGGATACATGAAATGAAAGAGTGCAAAACAGGTGTGCTATGTGGTTGGAAACATTTCAAAACAAAGTGAAAAGTAAGTCCAAAGGTGAGACCTGGCCATGCTATATGGGAGTGAATGTTGAAGCCTGAAATGTTGCAACATATTAACATGAATGTTGCAGAATGCAGGAGGGTTAAGAGTGGATGTAACGTATCACAAAAACTTGGATGAGATTAGAAATGATAGCAAAAAAGAAGTGGCACAGTACACAAGTTGAGGATAAAAGAGAAGAATTAGATGTTTTGGTTATGTCTACATAGACCCATGTGTTCTGGTTCATAAGTGAGATAAATTGTATGGTGGAAGGTCTTAGATGGAGGAGAGCTAAATTAGAACCACATGGAGAATAAATTATCTAAACAAGATCTATACTTCTTAAGATTAGTGCAGAGTTAGTCTATGAACCGAATAGAATGAAACCAAGGATTTATATAGCAGACACTAGTTTAGGATTAAAACTTAGTTGTTGTCCGAAGATCAGCAAACCTAAAAGCGTGTGCACATGAATATTGTAGCAAAGTTGATTTTAATTTGCCCTATCAGTCCTTGATTGGTAATTTCACAGTTCAATTATAACGTTTCACGAGAATTAATATAAAATCTCAACTTCTCATGTTCCAATTGTTTTTCGTTGGCCTGATGGATGAAAAATAAGAAAGTCCATAGTGAAGGAATGCGCACAAGATGAAAGCTACAGCCTGCAAAGGTAACTCACGGTTATTGCTTTATGTGAATCCAGCTAAAAGATACTTCCTCAAATAAAAACAATATTATTGGCTGTGCAAGTGCATTTCTGGCAAATTTCAATAAGTGAGCCCTTAAAAAGCATAGGTGACTTCCATCTTCAACTTTATGAACATGTTATCCCTGCAATGTAAATCCGCAACTCAAGGCAAACTTAATTTCAAAACCATAGCTGCACTGAAGTATACTTAAGCAATATTTAAGACAGAGATGTAATGTTCCACAATGCATATTAACGAGAAAGTTTGAAGTCTTTTCTAGGTTCTCTGCTGAATAAGGCATTCAAGGCCAGCCGGAAATGGAGAAAGCCAGGATAGCGGACGATAAGCACACTGCAAGGAATGCGCCCAGAAGAAATCCATAGCACTGAAGGCAAAGTGAGGAGGAGGGTGATGGAAAGATCTGCCAGAATATGACAGTTTTTGAAAGCTGAGAGTGTGCCTGTAAACAGCAAAGCATTTAGCAATTAACTATAATAATATCCAGCAAATCAGCCTAACAAAGAACGAAGAGCTAAACATTGGTGATCTAAGTACCTGTCGTCCAACAGGTCTTGGGTAATTGTGCAATAGAGAGAATGGAAAGAAGAAGTCCCTTCTAAACTCCAAAGATTTCAAGGTAGGGCATCATTTATGAGACCCCATTATCCGCTCCGTCATCTTTTTCGCGAGATAAAACTTTGACTCATGTATGGGGCCGATCACTGGCTTGCCTGGCAGCCTGCTTTATGAACTTCTGCTTTTTGTGTACAGAGCATTCTTCCGCTAGAAACAGTTGATAAAGACGGCAAGATCAATTGAAAGCATGCTAAGCTAATTAAACACATAACAGGACTTGAGAATGGGTAAACGAAATGTGAAATATGCTAAAATATATTTAAAGCTCAAGTAATTATGATAGATATAGTTATGTTAGCCTTGTTGCATTCACACTGCTTTTATTCTATACAAATAGATTGATGGCATACTGTGTAGAGTATATTCACCGAACCATTACAGAATGCCCAACTGATAATAACCAGAGGCTGTACTTGGAACCATCCAACCTCTATCTTAACGCGCCATGGAACTCAAGTTTGGGGATTTGGGGCATGATATTGATCCATCAATCACAGGAAGTAGTGGCAGAACGAGATAGACCTCATGCCTCACAGTCCTCAACTGAGCATTTAAACCAGCCACCCAAGCGATTCCACAGCAGATGCCGGGACATGCTGGACACAGAAATATTTCTGTCCATCAGTGAATTCAGAGATGAGAATGATAGAAGTTAAGTAATACTGTCCAAGGAAGATTTGTCAGCAGTGTGTCAGCGCTTAATAAAGATTATTAGGTGACATTATAGCTCCCGTCTCCACCAAATATTATGCACATAGGAAATCTGCTTCTGTATTATAGATGGCAGATATCTAACGCTTCTCATCACCACCAAGGAAATAAATCACCTGTATGAATGGCCCATCAAGTTCCGGTGTTGCTCGCAAGTGCATCATTGTCACTTTTATAATTGGCAAATGGGATGTCGATTTCAATTGATGAATACTTAAATAATAAATCCTTAAAAAGAAAGATTTGCAGCCAAAAAAGATGTCATAAATAGCAAGCTTCTCTGGCTAAAATTAAAGACATGGACATCCGAACTCATGGCAAGAAATTTTACCATGGGCATATGTGCTAGATGCTAGTTTTAACAAATGACGGATATCTTTTTTAATCCTTAAAACGAAGGCACAAGACGAAGAGAAGGTTTAATAAAAAAAAGAAAAAGTTAGATGCTTTCTTTGAGAGTTATCTTGCACCCAGCAATGAAGCGCAACAATATCTTCTTGCTTTTTTTCTGCCCTTAAATCTGAGAAAAAGTAAATCCAAGAAATAATATTATATAGTAGTATACAATCATCTCAGAAAATTGAGATGTCCGACTTTGAATCTTCAACCGCCTGCCTTTAAAATAGTCCAGGACCAGAAAAGGGGGGGATAAATATTACTAAAACCTTTCTAAAAGAAGTTTTTTAAGGCTTTTATTTTAAGAGAGAAAATGAGAGGCAGGGCCAGGATGGAAAAAATGGCATCCAATGATGGTTTGACTAGAATATATAAGGGGATGGAAGTGTAATGTTAATATAGACATTAACTGGATGAGAGGAAAACGCAAAGGAAATTGAAGGAAAAAACCATCTTGCCTTTCCACCCTCACAACTATATCCGAAAATCCATCAAGGGCCATTTTCTAACCCTCATTAAAATTTGATTCTTTTAGGGTCTTACATTTGGCTCCACGCAAATAATTTACCTCCAATCAAAACCCTTCACTTTCAAAATAATAAATAATCCTCCTCAGAAATTTTCTTGCCTTTTTTTTCGAATTAGCAGTTACTTATAAAATTCTGTATAATAGGATAGTAGTTTTTGAGCTTGAAGCATAATACAAGAGTCATTACCAATCAATGAGTAGAAAGTATGCCCATATATTGAAGAGTGATAACAGTTTGGTATGAAGATTAACTTTTCTAGTTTACAAACATAAAATTATATATGTACTTAATTAGATATACTTAGTATCAAAAGCGAAAGATGCACTAGACACAAAGGGGGCTGTTGGAGCCTAGGGACTAGCAGCTCTAGGCTAAATACGGTATTGAGCCTGTGCAAGGTGAGGTGGTCAATATGACAACATATATTTAAGATATTAGAATTAAGATGAAAAAGGTAAAATAAAAAGATTTGAAAAAAAAAAAAATAAAAAGGGCAATATAGGAAGAGAAATTGAGAAAAAGCATAATCTGATTTGAAAAAAAAAAAAAAAAAAGCAAATATAGGAAGAGAAATTGAGAAAAGCATATCTGAATGGCCGCTGCATAAAGACTAGATTGCAGGAGGCAAGTACTAGATGGAGTGGAGGCTAGATAACAAAGCATATCACTGGTTTTTGTGTTGCATTCTATTCCTTTTATTTATTTACTTATTTATTTATTTATTTATTTATTTATTTTACATAAATAGATGCTAGCTGGACAGGTTTATGTTGAAAGAAAAGAAAAAATAATAGAAACGTGTGCCTTTCCTGTGCCTAAGGAGCAAAAAAGGCAACCCAGAGGCGATCGCCTAAGTACTGTTGATGCGCAAGCCTTTGAGCCTTAAACAATATATATATATATATATAAGTACAAATGGGGAAGAAGGAATATTGGGATGGACAAAAAAAAAGACATGGTTCAATTTAATAATTGACAAATGGCCTATATTTATTGGATAAATAATAAATTAAAGAATTGTTATTTTTAAGCAATCTTGAATTTGATAGGTTATATTTATTTTTTACTTAAATCTAATTCTTATTAGATAAAAGTTTAAATAAGAAATTATTTCAAGTATTTTGGTTATGTAGATTTCCTACTTAAATCCAAATACTATTAAATAAAAAATTAAATAAGAAATTTATCTCAAACATATTAATAAATATTACATTAATAAAATGTAAAAGATTAATTGATAGTTTCATACCATGCATAATATATATTTCCCGTTTTCTTTACAATATAATTTTTAAAGAATTAATTCCTTTTCCTTAAATTATGTCAATATGTAAATAATAGGGTAAAAGCATAGGGCAAAAACATTGATAGTTATAATTAATTCTCTAAAAATTATATTTTAAGGAAAAGGGAAAGTAATTTATATAGATTAATATTTACGTGCAATTATATTTCTAAGTTACAGTTTAATCAAAAGATTTTTGAATTAAAAGATTATATTTTTATATTTTACATGCACTATATAAATATTAATCTATTTTACTTTCACTTATATTTCTAAGTTACAGTTCAATTAAAATTATTTAAAGGTGTTAAGTGGGACATAAAAGCTTGGTTGTCTTGTAAGAACTCAATTTTTGGGTACGACAACAATAATTTGAAAGTGTTCCAAGCTTTTACGAGAAAAATAGTACCACCTAGAAAAAGCAAAGTCTGCTCCATGTTATTTTAAGTGGCAGATAAAACGGTAAGAAAGCATAATGGGTCCAACCTTCATTCCTTTGTACAAGGCTCGTGATCGGCAAGAGCGAAGACATGAATGGTCATATTCAGACTTGACATATTCCTGAAGTCGATGAATTTTGTTTCTCCGTCGCCATTGTTTCCAAGACCAGGCACAGGGATAGGCTAGCACTGAAAGTATACTGTGGACTGAACCTTCCCACCAATCATATGCAGCAACAGAGTTTATCTCATCAATAAATCTGTTAAAAGCATCTTCATACCTGCAGATCAAAATGGCTCGTCAATAATGAAAATAAAGACATAATGGAACCACAACACTGTCACCTTTTTTTGCCACTAATATTAAGGGCTTCAAAAGTATTAACAGCAAAATGCTGAAAGACACAATGAAGTGTAAGTTGAAGCACTATTAGAATAAGGTGAAAAGGCACAACTAAGGGGGGAAAGATAATTAGATAATTGGTGTTTGAACATTGCCAAATTTTCTATTTTAGTGTCTCAATTTTTATCTTTTGTCTATTATGTATGTGAACAGATTTTTTTTTTTTTCAATTAAGTGCATTTAACCAGAATTTTTTCCCAAAAAACTAAAATAAAAATTTTTATTCAATAAATGATATCAAATGTAAACATCCATTCACTTCACTTCTATTTCTTAATTTTCTTTAACTTTTTATTGTCTTATATCTTTCCTTTTAAAAAAAAAAAAAAAAATGATAGGAAAGAAATAAAATGAGAAAAGTGATAAACAGAAATGAATGAAGTAAATAATGGGGTAAAATAATCCATGTTGATATTTTGGCAAGAAATTCCAAACAAATGGACCTAATTGTAAAAAATTTATCAACACTTAATTGACAAGATAAAGCGCAGACACTGATAGAAAAACGGATAAAGTTCAGACACTAACTCTATAATTATCCTGAAAAAAGGGTGAGATTTCCATCAAGGCTTTAAATGATGGTAGGAGTTAAGAAACCAATTTACTAGAGTTTATGATTTTTGAACAAAATTTGATGCTTCAACTGACATCACTTCACGTATTAACTTATATATTATGATAATGGCATTAACCAATTATGCTGTCAGCTGATACTCCTCATTGGCATAATGTTAACTTACACAATTTCAATAATTGCATTCGGAGGAGAGTAAGGAAGATGCCAGGGTTCCCTAAAAGTATTTGGACCCATAAAATACATTCTGTAGACGTGGCTCTGAGTTTCTTCAGCTCTAGTTCCCCGCACCTAAAGTTGAAAAAAGGATGCTTTGTGATACACTATAATAGCTGCAAACAACATACATTGAAGCAAGGATTGCTTTTATCAATATTGTACCTCTGATAAGGAAAGTAGATGTGGAAAATGATGGTGACTCTGGTGCTCGATTGAGTGTGCACCATAAGAACCTGATCCGACCAATTTTATTCTCAGCGTACTTAACAACAGAGCTAGAAGCACCAAGAAGCCAGATAGAATAAGGGCAAAAGGCCAAGGACCTCCAAATGTATATATAAGCTCTTCAAGAGGAGTGTAGCAATTTGGCATCCTGTATTTCTCAGATATGCATTTATAGGGACAAGGTAGCTCACTAACTCCACCTGTAGGATTTCAATTTCAGCCTACATAAGCTAAACATACAGAGAGACAAAGATAGAGACTATAGTCTAGAAGCAGTATGACACTGTACCTCGTACATATATGAAATTTGCACGATTAGGAAGAAGCTCGAGAGAACAAGGAGTGCAAAGACTTGCATCAGAGCCTTCAATATTTTTGTAAGTGCCAACTGGGCATTCCTGTGGATAAGTGCACAAGGAAGTTTCTATAGTTGCATAATAAACTATTATTTATTTGAAACAAGTTGCAAAAGTTATTTTGGCTACATGGCTCCAATAATTTTGATTTAAAAACACATGAAAGCTACATGTGTTTGGTGTTTTTGTAGTTGTATTTTATTAACAGAAAAGGGAATAGACACAGTAGTTAAAACTTGGAAATTAACTGTTCTTTGATGAAATAAATGATTGCACCTCACACAGGGGATAAGGAAGTAATCTAAATTTTGTCAGAATGATTTTACATTTGATGTGTAAATTGTATAAAGTAATCCTCCTATGAAACTGCTTTAAGGAGGGGATGTTCATCAAAGCTATTAATCTTCAAAATCTCAGGAAAAACTTTACTAGGACTCAAATTACAGGTTTTTCAAAGATATAAAGCAAAGCGGTTTCTCTAGCATGATTGTGTGAATAGCATACTTTTTGCAACCCTTAAATGATTTGCCATAACATAGGATGGATTTGGACAGTTCTTTCTGCCTATGTTTCATTTAGTGCTGAGACATGGTTTTTTAATTGGTGATATTAAAGAGTTTTAACTTATTATAGAAATGCACTGAAGCTAATAAATGAACAAGGAGGAAATTCAGTGTAAGAAAGATAAAATGAGGATGCTGAAACAAAGTTAAAGCAAACAAATTAAGGTTTAAATTGTTTTTTTTTTTTTTTTTTTTTTTTCTTTTCTTTTTTTTTTTTTTAGAAAATAATTTTTTGTTTGGTTTGGACTTAAGAAAATTATTTTAAAGTTTAATCCCGAGACCCAACATAGTTTTTGCGGAATGTATAAACACATAAGAAAAATATATTTACTTCCATGCCTTTATTGCGGCAGTCCCGAGACTCATTCCACCATGTCGACCTTACGCATTTGAATTATCTTATATGATTCACTCCTGATAGAATGTACACAAAAGGTTGTAGAGGCTGAAAAGTATTAAAAAGATCAAAATGCAACTTGAAAATAGAGAAGTGAGAAAGTAGTCCGGAAGGGCAACCGAAAAAAACTCATGAGCATTTAAGATAAAGAAGTGCAAACATAACGAAAATAAAGATTAGACATTTACTATGCAATACACTTCGGGATTTTTCTCCTATTTGGATTAGGAATGTTAAAGTAAATTTAGAAAATAAATTGCCAAGAATTTACAAAAGAAAATTTGAGACTACCACTCAACTAAACATAAAAAGTCCATGAAGGCCAATTGCTAGGCTGAGGTTTACTGTTTAATGAATGGCAGCTCATTACCTCCATCAAAATAACGGGGAAAACCATCGAATACAGCTTAGAAGGGCAGCCAAAAAGTAGGTATTGCACCCAAACCTGTACTCAGGAGTCCTTTCCCTCTCTGGCGACTCGTCTTTCTCCAGCTAACACTGCCCCCCCACCCCCCGCGCCGTCATAGACCCACAAGGTCCATCTTTCAGGTCCCTCCCACCGACTACCACACTTGTACACTAACTTCACAGTCACCAGACATGCGCCGCCTGCACATACCCTACAGAACCGCCCGCCTCACTTCTGCCCGACTTTTGACACAACAGGCCATTCTTCTTACGCAGACATATAAGACCAGATACGGATTAACCCACAGCGACACCTCAGACCTAACGTACACACGCCCACTCACATAAACGAAAGTCCTCATCCACCCATTAGGGGGTCCTAAGCGGAGTTGTTCTGGTGCGGGACACCTCGTACCACTTAGATAAAATGCACGTACCATGCGTATCGGGCACATGATGTGTGGCTCCCACTACTCCATGCAACCCACGCACCTACCGACAAATATGGACAGAACCATAGAATATTAAGGGAAAGTTCATGCTACATGCAGTTTTGAAGATAACAACATACGCCCCTACCCCCAGACATCTCCGAGCAATTTTAACCCTCTTAAAATGTTTTGGAGTTTGTTTGCTTAGTACCACTTAATACTTATTCAACGTTAAAATTGAATCATACTAGCAAGTGATCACATACCCTTCAAAAGAATCTATGTTGACTACTGACCATCACACCTTGAATCCAGCGAATAATCATAAATGTTCTATTCAGCACGCAATCCGCCTATGCGCCTCCTCTCACCCGGCTGCCAACCCCCAACCTTTCCAAGCGCGCCACACTCCCGCTCAACGCACTACGCAATAAACCTCTCTCATGCCCGTTCTGTGCGCCAAGCACCACTATCTCGCCCACACTGACAACAGACACGCTCTGCTCCAACAGCAAACCCCACTCCACCGTCCGATAGAGCCCCCCACACCCCCAACTCCACCTTATTCCCCCGACATTGCGCGCGTCGACCGGGCCTCGTTTATCACCAGGGTGCGCCCTTGACTCCACTTACAAAGCCAACTCCAAAGACTCCCCCACAGTCTTGAAGACTCGGCACCACCTCTGGATATCGATCTTTTACGGCTGCTCCCCTGCCAGTTCACAAAAAATGAAAACCCCATGTGGTCCCCCGGCCAGCATTTTGGAATAAGTGTCAACCAATAAGCCCCCAGTTGGGACCCTGACACAGCACTTGAAGAAACTACACTAGAGCTAGTCTCTACCCTGGGGAGGCATCACGATCCAATCTGTTAAAGAAGCTCCCTACCCGGCCCCCGCAGCTTTATTCTATGGAGAAGCACAGGGACAAATAGACCGGAAGTGGTTCCCTCTTTCATTATCAGACAGCCACTGAGGAACATACGACTGATCTCAACCCACCAATCACAACATTCATACCGCGTCCGACTTTATCAGCGACCTCACGTTACCCATCATGAGACGACACCCAACAGCGCACAGATCACCATGATATTTTACCCTCATTCCGGCCCAACTCAACCCGCCCCCCCCAATCAGAAGCTCCAACCCCACCCAATGCCATCTGCACCGCTATGAGCGGGACCATCTGTCCTCCTCCTGCTACACGCGCCCACAAATGCTGACTACTCCAGAACTACTTTACGCTTTTCATCCATACTCAAGTCCATCGAATAAATAGAAGAAGACAGGCCAGGGCGCGTAGTCAGAATCGTGAGTAGCCGCCAGGGACGCAAGCCAAACTAAACTCTAAGCTACAGCATGCCCCCCACCGGGCCCCCGAGTAAGTTGGAGCAAAGATGATCTCATAAAGGAAAACCAGAAAAGAACCAGTAAGGCGGCAGACGTAGCGCAGAGCAAGCAGCGGAGAGCACAAAGGACACCTGCGGGTACCGCCGGCTCGCTATCACTGCAAGCCAGGTGACCTCCCACACACTACGCTACCACTCGTACCACACTCTCAACACCAGCCTCTGATCCGTGGGCGGCAGGCTCTGTATGAACTACTTAACACACGAACTCCGCACGCCCTCGGCGCCCCGGGCCAAACCAAGGAGGTTAAGGAAATTGGCCACAACCACCAGGTGAACAAATCACCTCGCACCCTCCCCGGTATCAAAACCAAACAAACGTTAAGACGCGCTTAAAAATTAGATCCTCGTCCCACGTCACTCTCTAACACCGTACAACACAAATGCACTACCACCTTCCCAACTACCATTGAAAACATGCAGCGCGAATATTTAATAGGGACGGCACACCTGCTAATGACTGAGTGATCTTATCGAAAGCTACACACCACCCGCTCGCTGAGCAGTCGCATATGTTTTTCCTCCTCTTACCAACCTGTCTAATTCCACACACAGGAGAAGACAGTAGGCCACCTCCTGAAAAATTGTCCAACTGAAATTAAAATCCGGTAGTAAATCTAGAAAAGTCTCTACACACAACACCATCACGAACCTAGACATATTAAATACTTAAAATAACAATGTTAAGATAGATAAAAAAAGTACATGTAGTGAAGGGAGTGAATGTTGGACAAATTAAATGAATATTACAAGAAAATGAAAATGAAAATGTTAAGATGGAATGCGTCTGCCTGGCACATACCCCCGCTACCGGCCCCAAAATGACCAAAGATCCCAGAAAACTGACCAATCATGACAAAGGGTAAGTAGATAAACCCAGTTAGAGCGATAAACAGCAGGTCGCAAGACTACAACTAAGCACTCCTGGTTCATCAGAGATCACAGTCGCGCTGTGTTCTCTGCCCGTTCATCTAAGTCTGCGAGGCATACATTTGATGTACGCACGGGCGTCGACCAACCTCCCGCAGGGGCTGCACAGCGTGCCACCGCCCATACGCACCACCCCCATGCAGGGATGTGGTTCGTTACAACACACAGCTCGCCTATTAACTTGCCCGACGCCACCTGACATTTCCTCTTGAACTTCCTCGCCATTGAGCCCGGCCACAGCTGATACATAGACGCCCACACTATGCAACACAACAAAATAACAATTCATATAATCGGACTACAACCTGGTTTGAAGCTTACCGACTTAGACTCTTTTTAGCAATAAGCACGATGCCACATACTCCTAAGCCACACAACTGAAAGGTCCTATTCTTCTGCTTTTTGTGCCTTCACACAAGGGAAGGACTGTTCACATTCGCTTTGGCTCCCATTAAAGGCCTGCCATTGCGTAATATGCTCGCATGGTTACAACACTCATAAGTTAACGATCACAATCTGCACATTAGCTTAACCGGGTCACTCTCCGAAAAAAACTATTTGAGAGACAATGCCTTGTGCCGCTTACACCAAGAAGCCACACCACACGTGCTGACACTGAGTTTTCTACTCATACCATCCCCTCTCCTTCACACCCCCCATTGCAAACCTTCTCTTCTGTACACCTGGCCCGCCGGGGGAAGATGTCCCGGCAGTCCCGGCCCCACGCACCCACCGCCTCTCTGCCGCAGGATAGCCACCACCGATGTGGGCACCCCGCATTGGCGGCTCGTACAAGAGTCCCCAGTGAGAGCCTCACCAGCCACCTGCACACTCACTCTCTCTGCACCTCACCTATGCGGAGAAATTGGCCATAAACTTAGGAGAGGCCTTCCCAATGTGCTGCGGTCTTTGAAGGCCTATCGAGCATCGTTTAGGCGCACTTGGCCCCCGGCCCCCCGTCTCCGTCGAAAGCCCGCGTGCGCCGCCGCGCGGCGCCTCGAGTCCCTTATGTTCGACACGAGGCCCTCTTCGAGAGAAATATGATAACCCGAAGCGGACACGACTCTAAGACGCAGGACAGGTTTGGATTCCTTCCTCCTGATCCCTACATACGGCAACCCTCAACACATCGACCTCACTGGTCCTGAGGACCCGAAAGTAAAAAAATACACTGCATTCACACAAACCGACTCCCATCCTCAAGGATCCCCGCCCCACACAACTCACTCACTACCACGCGCCAACACAGGGTGAATCTCAATTTTTAACCTTGTAGGTCCCTCTAGGCCGCCTCTAGCATCAGCAAACAAAACATATATGCCTACGTGTCTGCACAGCACGATCACATCCCACTTCTGGACCTCAACAGTCATCCGCCGCCATGGCGCTTCGCTCGCTAAATAAAATCAAAATGTGTAATTTAGGTCGCCAGGCACTTGAGCGGATGATTAAAATTCCAATTGCACTGTCGCCCACGAGGCAATGAGGTACATGTATGTGACCAGATACCTTCTAGTATACCCGCCCCCTCATCCTTTCGCGTGATTCTAGTTCGAGCACCTAGGA